AGCAACGTGGATGAAGTGCCTCTCTTCTTTTCCTCCAGACTCTGGGACCTTGATTTCCAAAGGAAATGCAAAATTTACTTTCATCAGAGAACATGACTTTGGACCACTCACCAGCAGTCCAGTCCTGTTTCTCTTTAGCCCAGGCAAGACGCTTCTGACGCTGTCTGTGGTTCAAGAGTGGCTTGACACAAGGAATGCGACAGCAGAAACCCATGTCTTTCATACGTCTGTGTGTGGTGGTTCTTGAAGCACTCACTCCAGCTGCAGTCCACTCTTTGTGAATCTCCCCCACATTTTTGAATGGGTTTTGTTTCACAATCCTCTCCAGGGTGCGGTTATCTCTCTTGCTTGTACACTTTTTTCGACCACATCTTTTCCTTCCCTTCGCCTCTCTATTAATGTGCTTGGACACTGAGCTCTGTGAACAGCCAGCCTCTTTAGCGATGACCTTTTGTGTCTTGCCCTCCTTGTGCAAGGTGTCGATGGTCGTCTTTTGGACAACTGTCAAGTCAGCAGTCTTCCCCATGATTGTGTAGCCTATAGAACTAGACTGAAAGACCATTTAAAGGCTTTTGCAGGTGGTTTGAGTTAATTAGCTGATTAGAGTGTGGCACCAGGGGCCATCAATTTTGAACCTTTTCACAATATTCTAATTTTCTGATATGATGAATTTGAGATTTTCATTTGTTGTCATTTGTAATCATCAAAATTAAACAAAATAAACATCTGAAATATATGAGTTTGTATGTAATGTATGAATATAATATACAAGTTTCACTTTTTAAATGGAATTACTGAAATCAATCTACTTTTTCATGATATTCTAATTTTATGACCAGCACCTGTACATGGTCACCATGAAGGAAGAGATGTGGAGCATTCAGCTTCACTGACAAAGATGTGAGTTGTTTGAGGTGGCCAGTGACACATTGGTGGAAAATGACGGAATTAGGCAACTTTTTACGTGCCCGTGGGGTCCCCTCATTAATGGAGGAGCAGAAGAGAGCTAGTCTCTAAAACAGACATGGCTATGGCTGGATGCTAACATGTTTGTTTTTAAACATACTTTTGTTATATTACATTTGTGTTGTGTTTTCCAAATAATGTAGAAAATGGATGGTGGGTTTATAATGTTTACCTTTTATGAGCAGGACAGGAAGCAGAGAAGTGTAGCATTACCTCCAACTAGTTAAACTCATAATTATGAAGTTATTCAACAAATTCCTCAAGTAAGAAGTGCAACTTTTATTTTTTATTTCTTTTTGTTGTTTTTTTTTACCAGATTTGTTGATTAATTTCAAATTATGTATTCCTTCCAAATTTCCAAATCTGAAGAATTTTTTAAGCCAATATCTACATTATTTAACATTTATTTTATGTTTTAGCAGTACTTCCTGTTATATTTCTTTATACGTATATTTTACATTTTCTTGCACAGCAAGCTCAGCAGATTTGAAATTGTGTGCTTGTGTAAACACTATTCAATCTTTACTCTAAACATATATTCTGGTTATTTTTTAGTTAGACCTACTTGTTTTTATGTATCTGTATAAGTACCCCCCGAAAAAAAATAAAAACACTGTAAATTGATTAGAAATATTAATCATCTGTCAGATTTCTGAGAAAAAAGTCAGAATTCTGAGAAAAAAGTCAGAAGAAAAAAGTCAGAATTCTGAGAAAAGTCAGAATTCTGACTTTTTTCCCCATGTTAAACTAAAAAAAAAATGTAAAAATCAGTTAACTTTTTTTTTCCAGTGGCCCTAATCCTCTTCCGTACAAGACTAAGATGACTAAACCAAAAAGATTCAGTTTCTATATATGAAAGTGAACTAAAAACAAAACGTTATAAACGGGCAATATTCATAGCAGCATCCCGACAGACTATTTTACCTCTTTCACAAGTTTCTGATTTCTGTGTCGCCGTTTCCCTCCCTGCTGACTGAGTGCTCAAACACTCAGCAGTTCAGAGAGGGGAGGGGGAGTACAGTGACGTAACGCTATGCTGCGCCTTCAAAATAAAAGCACGCTAGTTAAAAAAATGTCAAAATCTAATATTTTGCGGTACAATTTTTGGGGGGGACATTTCCACCTGGCTTTTATATTGGGGGGGACATGTCCCCCCCGTCCCCCCCGCTTCCTACGCCGCTGGCTGCAGACACTAAGATGCCCATACATTAGAGACAGGGTAGTTTTTACTGTAGAGTTTAAACAGTTTGGATTTCTCTGAAGAAAAACAAGTGACTGTAATCAGGAATGTCCTATCCTCGGTATTCCTAACATCCTACAACAGGCGTAGTACGGCGGACGTGTAGCCAAAGAACGGATCTGCAGGGAAGTGAGAAAGTGAAGCAGCGGCTGACAGCTGTTTGGCCGTCCTGCAGCAGATAACTAATAAAACAAAACAGTTTTAACACATTTCTTGGATCGTAATGCCTTGTCAGCCATTCAGGGAGTTATGCGCACATTCCATATCCAAACATCCATCAGTATGTGGAGTACCCCCCGCCTGCAGAGGAGAAATGTTTTCATAATCTGTGCTAAAAAGTACGCTTTGGGGGGAATTTACGTGACATCAAATCACACTCTTTAGGTGAAGAGTTCGATTGATGCTATTTAGAGATTTAGAGAGTCTGAAGAGAAAGGAATAAATGTTTTTTTCTTCTGCCAGCTGTTATTGTCATTGCACTGTCACAGGTACAGAGCAACGAAATGAACTCTGCATTTAACCCATCCCTCTGGGGGAGCAGTGGCTGCCATTGTGCAGCGCCCGGGGAGCAGCGTGTGTCATGATCTGGCCTGTTTGCTCCCCCTTAATTGGTTATTTCTTTCACCTGTCGTTTTCCTTCCCTTCCTCAATTATCATTTATTCCTCTGACCTGTTTCCTTTGGTTTATATTCTATTCAGCCTGAGCATTCGAGGCCAGATCATTATTTGTTTTTCTGTTAGTCTGTCCACTTCTGTTCATTTGATGCCACGGTTCATGTTCTGGATCCTGGCGGCCAGTGGAAAGAGGGTTTTTGTGTTTGTCTCGTCTCCTGCCTGTCCACTGTTCCTCCCCCGCTGAGTCCTCTGGGTTTTTGGCTCTATACGAAGGGAAGTTCAGTTTTTATCCAAGTAAGCCTGGCTCCACGGAGGAGACCAGTTTAAAGTCCTGCATAAAGTTCTGGTTCCACGTCCTGTCTCTGCTACCCTCTGCCACTGAGCCTGCCCGTCTGCACCTGATCCTGTCTGCTCCTGTGCGTGACCGCCTGGTCACACTTCTGGACCCTGTTAGACTCTGAACCTGCCTGGGAGCCTGTGGATGCCTGGAAGTCTGGATTCTGCCACCTGTCTGTTTGTGCCTGATCTGGATCCTGTTTTGTCCGTTCTGTTGTTTTGGCTGTGGATTCAAATAGGTTCATCCTTTGGCGGCTTGTTGCCTAGCAACTGAAAAATGAACAAACACTACACTCATGAGAATTCAGAGTGGAATTTGTGCCAACCACCGGGAGCATGAACAAATTAAAGCAAATGTAATGATAGAAACCTTAGTCAGTTAAATAAATTCTTTACTATCAGGAAGTCCACAAACTAGTTAAAAGCCTTCAGCTGATCCGAAATGCTGCAGCCAGAGTTCTGATGAAAATGAAAAAGAGAGATCATATCTCTGCTATCCTGGCTTCTCTTCATTGGCTTCCTGTTAAATCCAGAATAGAATTTCAAATCCTTTAAAATATATCAGAGATCTGAATCGCATCACTGGAAAATTGGTCCAAAAAAGGGAAAAAATCTTGTATGACCGGCTTAAAGAGATAAACGGGTATTGACTATGGGTATGCTGGTCTGACCAGATATGCTCATCTGACAGTCCTGCAGAATCCCGTCTGCCAGCCTGTCAACCATAGGGGAGGCCTTTAGTCTCCAGGAAGGCGTTACACAGCTCCCACCTCAGGTTTCGCCTTTTGAGGATCTGGAGAAAGATTGCTCAGCCTTTTCAGTGTCACCAAGATGTTAGAGGTCCGTTGGACTTTCTTCACACATTGAAAACCCACCAACCGGCAGATGGCAGCCACATTTACCTGTGCAGGTCGTTAACAGATTGGCGCCGCAGTTTGTGGCACGCTTTTCCTTTCAAAGCTGCTGTTCAATGGGTTTTTCTTTTTTAAATAATAATGCATTGTGTCACTGATCAAAGAGTTCAAACTTTCCAAAGTAAAACACTCTGCCAGCCTGCACAATGCAATCACCATGCTCACCACAGGGGGCGCTCTAATCCGATTCAGGGATTGAAGTTCTGCACACCGGAAAGGAAGAGGTCTGTCTGCTATTGGTTTGAGCACATGTGCCTCTCTGTTCTGCATGAACAAGTTCACCCAAACAGCCGTTTTCAGGTGAAGGAAACCACATTGAAACCTTCAAAATAAAACTCGTGGTAGAGTCCAAATGGGTTAAAAGCATTTACTTTTGAACTGATAATGATAATATAATTTAATCATTTCGATTTAAGCATTCAATTACTTAAGTAGAAATATTGGCTATCTATACTTCAGTGCAGTCATTTTTTTAAACAAATTTTTACTTCTACTCCTTAAATTTTAAAAATAGACTTATTAGTTTTGTTTCATTTGAGCTCATTTTCGTTATGGGCTGTTGGTATTTTTAAAAAACAAACAAGCAAATATAAAAATAATTTATTTAATCTAGAAAATGCATTTATCAGTGGTTGGACTCGGTGCTGCCCGTAAGTCTAAGGAAGTTGTCATCCAGATCTGTAGAAAAATTTTCCTTTAATAAGGTAGAGCAGTAAAGCTTTTGTCAGTTTTACCTGTTTTATTTTTATACGTTAAGTAGTTTTAAAAAATGGTTCCAGAGTTTCATATATACATGTATAATAAGAGCAGTATTTTGTTAAAGGTTTTAGTTATAACAGTGCGTATGTTATCACTGTGTTTTGTTGTTAGGATCTTATGCCTTTAGCAGCGTTAATAATTCTTCTTTTATTCTGAAAGTGCGAACAGGAAGTCGCGTGGTTGACCGCTATCACAGCCGGATGTATTCCTCGTGGACTGAACTTCTCCTCAGGCAGCAATACTTTTAAACTTATTCTTTTAATCAGGGCCAGTGTTGCCATAGTGACCGTGATATCTCGGTGTTTCCTGGGGGCTCGTGCTTCTTTAAACACTCCGCCGCGTGAGTTTCAAACTGCGCCGTTAGCCTGTTAGCTGCTGGAGCTAAGTTTGGATGCTGGCATAGAAATAGGTTGGTTTCCTGTTTACTCTCTGTTAGGTTAGCTGCTCTCTGGCTGCTAACAGTTAAAGTTATTCACATGCTTCAGGTCTGGAGCTTGTCTGCATCAAATTTTCAGTTTATTTGTATAATATGATGCGTTCATGAGCCTCTAAATGTCTCTTTCTGTGATTCAGAGTGACGTCATCTATCTGGAACCCTCCTCAGATGGACAGCAGCTCATCACCACAGGAGGATGAGAAACGCAGCTCTGCGCCTCCTCCAGAGGTGATGGATGTGACCGTCCCTGAAACACCACCTCAGCCTGAGGAAACCAGCTGTCTCACTGAGGAGGCAAACACAGCACATCCACCACAGATGGATCACTATGGCGTAGCGTCCATAAAGGAGGAGATGGAGGTCACCATGGTGACGCAGGATGATGCCACAGCAGCGAACAGTGGAACCCGGGCAGAGGGCATGGCAGCAGCAGCAGGGGGAGACCCTGAGGCCGTCCCCTTGGATCCGGACTCAGATGATTCCGACAGGTGTTCACACTCACCGCACTGCTCATACCTGTTAACACATTCTCACTGCTCACACCTGCTCACTGTTTACCCCTGCTCACTATTCACACCTGTTCACTATTCACACCTGTTCACCCCTGCTCACTGTTCACCCCTGCTCACTATTCACACCTGTTCACACCTGCTCACTGTTAACACCTGCTCACTGTTAAAACCTGTTCACCCCTGCTCACTATTCACACCTGTTCACCCCTGCTCACTATTCACACCTGTTAACACCTTCTCACTGCTCAGACCTGCTCACTGTTCACCCCTGCTCACTATTCACACCTGCTCACTATTCACATCTGTTCACACCTGCTCACTGTTCACACCTGTTTACACCTTCTCACTGCTCACACCTGCTCACTGTTCACACCTGTTCAGCCCTGCTCACTATTTACACCTGTTTACACCTTCTCCCTGCTCACCCCTGCTAACTATTCACACCTTCTCACTATTCACATCTGTTCACCCCTGCTCACTGTTCGCACCTGTTCACACCTGCTCACTGTTCGCACCTGTTCACACCTGCTCACTGTTCGCACCTGCTCACTGTTCACTCCTGTTCACCCCTGCTCACTATTCACACCTGTTTATACCTTCTCCCTGCTCACCCCTGCTCACTATTCACACCTGTTTACACCTTCTCCCTGCTCACCCCTGCTAACTATTCACACCTTCTCACTATTCACATCTGTTCACCCCTGCTCACTGTTCGCATCTGTTCACCCCTGCTCACTGTTCGCACCTGTTCACACCTGCTCACTGTTCGCACCTGTTCACACCTGCTCACTGTTCACACCTGTTCACTGTTCACTCCTGTTCACCCCTGCTCACTATTCACACCTGTTTATACCTTCTCCCTGCTCACCCCTGCTCACTATTCACACCTTCTCACTATTCACATCTGTTCACACCTGCTCACTGTTCGCACCTGTTCACTGTTCACACCTGTTCACACCTGTTCACACCTGTTCACACCTGTTCACCCCTGCTCACTATGCACACCTGTTTACACATTCTCACTGCTCAGACCTGCTCACTGTTCACCCCTGCTCACTATTCACCCCTGCTCACTATTCACATCTGTTCACACCTGCTCACTGTTCACACCTGTTCACCCCTGCTCACTATTCACACCTGTTTACACCTTCTCACTGCTCAGACCTGCTTACTGTTCACCCCTGCTCACTATTCACACCTGTTCACACCTGCTCACTGTTCACACCTGTTCACCCCTGCTCACTATTCACACCTGTTTACACCTTCTCACTGCTCAGACCTGCTCACTGTTCACCCCTGCTCACTATTCACACCTGCTCACTATTCACATCTGTTCACACCTGCTCACTGTTCACACCTGTTTACACCTTCTCACTGCTCACACCTGCTCACTGTTCACACCTGTTCACCCCTGCTCACTATTTACACCTGTTTACACCTTCTCCCTGCTCACCCCTGCTAACTATTCACACCTTCTCACTATTCACATCTGTTCACCCCTGCTCACTGTTCGCACCTGTTCACACCTGCTCACTGTTCGCACCTGTTCACACCTGCTCACTGTTCGCACCTGTTCACACCTGCTCACTGTTCACACCTGTTCACTGTTCACTCCTGTTCACCCCTGCTCACTATTCACACCTGTTTATACCTTCTCCCTGCTCACCCCTGCTCACTATTCACACCTTCTCACTATTCACATCTGTTCACACCTGCTCACTGTTCGCACCTGTTCACTGTTCACACCTGTTCACACCTGTTCACTGTTCACACCTGTTCACACCTGTTCACCCCTGCTCACTATGCACACCTGTTTACACATTCTCACTGCTCAGACCTGCTCACTGTTCACCCCTGCTCACTATTCACCCCTGCTCACTATTCACATCTGTTCACACCTGCTCACTGTTCACACCTGTTCACCCCTGCTCACTATTCACACCTGTTTACACCTTCTCACTGCTCAGACCTGCTTACTGTTCACCCCTGCTCACTATTCACACCTGTTCACACCTGCTCACTGTTCACACCTGTTCACCCCTGCTCACTATTCACACCTGTTTACACCTTCTCACTGCTCAGACCTGCTCACTGTTCACCCCTGCTCACTATTCACACCTGCTCACTATTCACATCTGTTCACACCTGCTCACTGTTCACACCTGTTTACACCTTCTCACTGCTCACACCTGCTCACTGTTCACACCTGTTCACCCCTGCTCACTATTTACACCTGTTTACACCTTCTCCCTGCTCACCCCTGCTAACTATTCACACCTTCTCACTATTCACATCTGTTCACCCCTGCTCACTGTTCGCACCTGTTCACACCTGCTCACTGTTCGCACCTGTTCACACCTGCTCACTGTTCGCACCTGTTCACACCTGCTCACTGTTCACACCTGTTCACTGTTCACTCCTGTTCACCCCTGCTCACTATTCACACCTGTTTATACCTTCTCCCTGCTCACCCCTGCTCACTATTCACACCTTCTCACTATTCACATCTGTTCACACCTGCTCACTGTTCGCACCTGTTCACTGTTCACACCTGTTCACACCTGTTCACTGTTCACACCTGTTCACACCTGCTCACTGTTCACACCTGTTCACACCTGCTCACTGTTCACACCGTCACACATTGTAGGATTGACTCTGACCTTTGTCTCTCCCAGTGACAGCTCTTCATCCTCATCCTCGTCTTCCTCCTCATCCTCGTCTTCGTCTCCCGCCCCGGTCATGGAGGACGATGATGAAGGTTTCAGCCAACCAGCGCCTATTAAAGTTCGTGGTGAAGTCTTACTTGAGGTCAGTTTGTTTTGAAGAAGTTTGACCTTAAAGGGGAGCACTTTTCTTTTTTTACATTGGCTCCTTGATTTTCCTTTATTCCATCATGTTCTACTCTCCCATATTAGTTTAGTGTCATTTGGCTGTTCTGAAGATATTCCGTTAGGTTATATCCAGTAACGTCTTCCTATGGGCAACGACTTGAAGGCACAAACTAAACTGTTCATCATTTATTCTTTATGGTACGCCAGCATTTATTACATGGAGGCCAATCACTGTCCGCCAGACATCGGCGGTTATATTTTTTTATATTAATATTTTTTTTAAAACAAAGCAGCGTGTGAATGATGTCATCCACGCGCGCCAGCTACCATTCATTCTTCCTGTCCGCTGAACTGCTGCTAGTTTATCCTCACATGCCTGGAAGATGTCTAGTGCTGCTCCCACAGATGATCTCGCTCTCCAAATGGAATTGAACAATTCAGATTAGCTCGTCCAATGAATAGAAGGGGTAGAACGTAGCCGCCTGCGGCCCGGGCTGCCCGTCACTTCTCCAGTCCGCCGTGCGGATGACATCATCCACGCGTTGCTTTGTTTTAAAAAAATATAAATATGAAATATATAACCGCGGATAAATGATGAACAGTTTAGTTTGTGCCTTCAAGTCGTTGCCCATAGGAAGACGTTACTTGTATATAACCTAACGGAATATCTTCAGAACAGCTCCAAATGACACTAAACTCATATGGGTGAGTAGAACATGATGGAATAACGTAAAATCAAGGGCCCAATGTAAAAAAAGAAAATTGCTCCCCTTTAATCTCGTCATTAATATTCATATATGCATTTAAACACATAACACCTTAAAATGGAGGAAGCTGTTATTCTAAGGTGCTACTTTGCCTAATTCCAATAAAGTTATAAAAAAATAATCCCAGGGATTAAAGTATTCCAGCTCCAGGCCAGATTTCCAGCCTTTAGCAAAAAAATCACTCAAAAATAAATTGATGATAAATAAATTAAAAAAGACAAAAAAAATCTCTCTTGCGTTTGCCAGCCAATGGTAGCAAAGGAGCGCTCTGAAACTAACAGTATTAGCCAATCAGTTTTTGGAACTTTGGACGTCTATACACAGAAAGTCACCTTCACAGTTTATGGCTCCATTTAACGGAGAGACGTGTAAAAAGTCAAAAAATAAATAAATTAAACTTTGTGTTTGGAGAGAAGGACGATAGATTAGATTAGATTAGATGAGCTTTATTGATCTCACAGCGGAGAAATTCACTCGTCACATATTTGGCATAGAAGTTACAGAAGGTACAAACGGGGAGGAAAAAGGTGCATTAAGAATAAGCAATATATATACAGTATATCAAGGTATATACAGTATATCAAGATAAATAAGGATTAAGGTGCAAGTGTACATGTATCGCACAGAATGAAAAAACAAAATAAAAATAAGAGATAAAAAAATAAGAAATAAAAATATGTACAATCCAGAACGGAATTGAGTGGAAACAGTGCAGGTCATGAACTCAAGGGAAGATGTCACCACCATAGATGAAGGTCTGAAAAATAAATGGCACTGGGCATGGCTGGAGGAGACAGGGCGAGATGGCGAGATATTTAGCAGCTGGAACAGGAAGTTAGGTGAACCAGGCGCCTGCTTCCAGCAGCAAAAAGCTGCTACGCAAACATGGGTTAGATCCTGGTCATCAAGCTGCTGTTCTGTGGTCCCGCACGCTACACGTTAGCCGGGAGCTACGGCAACCGCTGATGCACCAGCCTCAATAACTGACCATGTATGAGAGTTAAAAACAAGGGTTTGTGCTTTCCTCACCAAACACGACCTCTCATTCACATTAGATATAGATGCACTTCTGCCATCTTCTGGCTGTTTTTGGTATTGGATTTTCAAAAGTCTAATTTAGTCTCAATAATTCATGCAATCTCTGATCCCATGCCCCCACACCCCCATGGCAGGGATTGTTAACACACACACATATATATAGGTTTTTGTTATTATTTTTTTGTATGATTTTCTTGCCTGTGTTGAAAAAGTTCAGGCTCAGGATATTTTTTTGCTTCAATCCCTGCAATCCACTGGACTTTGCTTCCAAGTTTGAAGACGTTTCTCTTCCATCCAGGAAGCTTTTTCAATTCAAAATGTCAGGAATAGCGTTGAGTTCCAGGTTTTATACAGTAGCCCAACAAAGCTTTGTTTTGTTTAGAAAACATTCTAATTGTAGTTCTAGGCAAAAACAAGGCTTTGTTTGCCTACTGTATAAAACCCCGCGCTTAACACTATTCCTGACATTTACTGAGTAACGCAAAATTCATGAAATCGCTGCGAACATATTAGTTTTAGGTGTAGATAATGATCCATTGATTATTCCTTGCTGCCCGGTGCAGGTAGCAGATCTGCTTGGGGCCCCGCCCCTTCTGATGACATTACTATATGGCAACGCCACTCTGACAAACTGAATTACACTCCTTTCTTAAGGATTTAATCTCTTTTGGAGTTTCAACATATTATTACCTATATTTGGGGGGCCACATGCCGAAGGCATAGCCCACCTACTACTATTGCACATATTTATTCTGCGTATTATTTTTTTACCTATATTATTTTACATTTCATTAGCGATCTAAATTAGCTGAAAGTAGAAAACAGTCATTCTAAGTGTTGAAGGAAAGTGGTGCCCTCTAAGACAGACTGGGCTCTGACATTTAACAAGGTGTCTAAAAAAGTCTCTGTTTATTTAAATTATTTTTATTAAGATCTGAGGACAGAGGAGGACAAATAAAACATCTTAAAAATTACATTCGTAAAGATTTTAGACAAATAGAGCAGTTATTCTACTTGTAGAAAATGAACAGTTGTTGTTGACAAAAAGTTAAAAGTAGTGTAGCTTAATGTGGCTAACTGAACGAGCTAATAGAGGCTAACCTGTTAGCTACTGAGCACGGCTAGCCACAGCGCTACCCAGCTCTTTACATCATGGTCTAACAGTTACTTTATTCACCATAAACAGTTTTTTCAGTTTTGTTATTGATCAAGTTAAACTCCATCATCATTAGTCATCGTTGTCTGGGTAACCACTATGTTTTACATCACATGGCAACGTTCAGCCAATCATGTAGCGTAACGTCAGTGGCAGGAAGCAGGACCAGAGCAGACCTGGTAGCTGCAGCGGACTTTTCCTTTAACGTGTCGCTGTCACAGCAGCTGATGTGTTATCAGAGCCGGTGTTTTACAGCGAGGTCAGTCAGCTGAGTGGGCGGAGCTTCAGTGCCTCCTGGAAGCATTCAGGGATAAATTCATCCTGCGGGTTAGATCAGAGGGTGTGATGAGCGTCCTGTTTGTGAGCAGGAGCTTCCAGCCGTGGAGGAGGTCTCTGTGAGCTTACCTGAGGAAGCGGAGCTGCAGCCGGTGGGGACGGTCTCCAGCATCGTCCAGCAGCTCGGTGGGTAGAAACGCTACGTTGACCTTGGCTTCAGGGTCCCTCCTCAGCCCCTCACCTCTTTGTGTCCTTTCAGTGATCGTCCAGTCCCTGAAAAACACCCCCCCGCTGAACGAGGACAGCATCCTGTTCCGCTCCGACCGGGTGGCAGTGGGAAAGGTGAGGTCTGTCCTGAGCTCACGCTCTCTGGATGCTGTCAGCGCTGAAACCTGCTGCTGCTGTTGTTCCAGGTGTTCGAGGTGTTCGGCCCCGTCTGCAGCCCTTTGTACGTCCTCCGCTTTAACTCTTCAGACCAGATCAGCAACAAAGGCCTCTCAGAGGGATGCACCGTTTATTTTGCTCCTTCACTCAAGGAGTACACAGAGTACATCCTCACCCAGCAGCTCAAACTGTGAGGACGCCATCAGGTCGCTTTACAGCTCAACCACGCCGGTCTGTGTAACGGTTCTAACATCCCTGATGTTTCCACAGCCTGAAGGGATCCGATGCTTCCTGGAAGAACGATGAGGAGCCGCCGGAGGAGGTAACCCAGCTCGCCTTGGGATCAGCGTGGGTGGGGATAGCGATGGCTCCAGTAAAGCCGGAACACTGTGCCATATTTTCAATTATTGTACACAGCTACAGCTCGTAATGTACGATAAAACCGCAGGGTTTAAAAGTTTACAGCTCACCATGTTTGTTCTCACACCGTGATGCCCTGATGCCATCTACCGACTCACTGTACGTCTAAAAACCACAGGTCAGACTCAGCACAGAGATGGCGCTGCTCTGACTTGTCATTTTGGAGGGAAGAAGAAGAAGAAGAACTCCCCTGTTTGTACATGCGCAGCGATAGAGGTTCTGGTAAATCGAGATTTACCCACGAATAGGGCTGGGTATTGTTCAAAAATTTTCATGTCCGGTACCAATACCGATACCTTCACTTCGATACCGGTTCCTGAACGATACTTTTTTCGATACCAGTTTTATAATATCAATTCGAAGAAAAAGAAAATTACACAACATAAAAAAGTACAAATCTTGAGTTTTACTTTAAGCTCTGATTTTTCCATTTACATTTTTCCTCTTACATAAAAAAAAAATTCAGTGTCTAATATTCACTGTTACATTGTGAGGACCTTTTTACTTAGCAGTTTTCCTTTAGGAGAATTACCATGTCTGACAAACAAGCCCGTTGAATGGGATCCTACTCACAGCGCACCGCTGGTATGGGGGGGTCTGAGCGGCTCCCACAGAAATATTGGAAGGCAGGATGAACTGACTGCACTGATTAAGTTTTCAGGTGGATTTTCCCACTTAAAAACATAATAAAACTACTTTATTCCCACTGATCACAGCAAATATAGCTGCAAGGCAGAGAAAGGATAGAGTAGCTCCGCCCAACGCGCGTCAGACACACTTTTTCGCAGATGTGATTTTGCTGGTCTTGCAGCGTCCAGTTTGAAAGCAGCATGATTCACTCCGCTCTGGCTTTGCTCCGCCCACTGCCTGCTGAGAGGAGGATGGTCGCGCTGGCTGCGGTCCGCTCTTCTTGCAGTCAAACACCGAGCAACTTTCTGCTCTTAAATCGTTTCCGTGCACGATGTATTGCATTGCGCACTATTGGCATCAGTCCTAATAAAGTGAAGCCACACTTTTGACCTGGGGGGCATTTTAAAGGGGTTCCATGACGCTCGCAACCAGTTCACAACAGATACACATGAACCCTGGCTGTAGGCGGGACCACCTGTGTATTTTTCCTGGATGACGCAATCACGTTGAGTGTTACAGCCAATCACCGAAAGACGAGGCATGTTTCGATACTCTGTAGAACCGAAGCATTTCGGTCGGTACCATAAATGAACCGATGTTCGGTACCCAGCCCTACCCACGAACTCCTCACATCGGCCCACTGAATGTCAAACATGTTTGATTTTCTCCTGACCTCACGATTCCTGATGGGGAGGTGGTGGTTAGAGGCTGATCCCCCTCGTCACCACATGTTCACTACACCACGCACCATCAGGATGAAAGTCGGGCCGATCCAAAAAAAAAAAAAAAAAGCTTGACTGGAGAATCGGCCCATTAAGAGCAAAAAGTCCTATAAAACGAAGATGAAATGATACATTATAGCAAACAATGGCTCAGATCAAAGGTCACAGATTAGCAGCTCACGGTCCAGATCCGGACCCACCTGCTGGCTAATCCGAACCCGACCTGATTTAAAACATTTATAAATTACCGCCTGTTGTCTGACAACAATGTCTAAACATCGCTTGCTCCTGTTACCCCAAAATCCCACATCCTCCGCTCCTCCCCGCTGCGCTCCAGACCTCCTGCAAAGCAAAGCCTCCAGCCTCCGCTGTTCCTCCTGTATTGCTGCTCTGACTTCCTCTGAGCTTTAGGAGAGCATGTGTGATATTATCATTAAATCCGTAGGAGCAAAACATGCAGAAATGAACGCTTAATTTAATGATGTATTAAAAAAATCCTCATCAGCGTCCATTAAATGTGCAGTTTCTGATTGAGATGAGAAATCTTCTTCCTGGTCTGTTGAAGAACCAATAGTTCGCATCCAGTCTTTTAAATAAACTGTGTTAGTTTTGTGAAATATAAAAGAATTATGCTCTAATTAGTAGTTACCGATCTGTTGTTACTATATTTTAATCTGACAAACCGGATCTTCTCGCCGTTCTTTCTCCTGTTTGGTGCGATTGCAATAGAGGATCTTTGACCTGAACGGACCTGAGTGGAGCCTGAACATCTAGAGGATGTTTGGCTCAACCTGCTGCTGTGAAGCAGGATTCTCCACCATCAACAGAATCAAAAATAAATCTGGATCCAGGCCCAAAATGAGCACCTTGATATGTGCTTTAGAACGGCTTAGTCTCCATTCAAACCCAGGTTTAAAGCCTTGCAGGGCAGCATAAAGCCCACTGCCAACATTAAGACAGAAAAAAGAAAACAGTCAGTTCAGGAAATTGTCTATATACCAAACTGAACGATCGTTGTCCTCTACTTTAAAAAACAATTTATATTTTAATATGGAAAACTATTTTTTATTTATTTCAATGTACAACATGGATGCATAAAAACCTCATTTTATTTCAGTGTTAAACTCTTTTTAAAGTAACCAGTGGTGTCAAAAGTTCACACATTTGTTACTTCAGTAGAAGTAGAGATACTGCAGTTTAAAAACACTGGTTAAAGTTGAAGTATCAACTTGACCTCTTTACTCTAGTAAAAGTGATGATCTCTCTCGCCTGTGTCCGACCTTTCAGACATTTCAACATCTTTTTCTGAATCCAACATTGTAGCATGGCATAGACAATTCATGTTAGCAGTTTGAAGAACACCTGCTTGCTTCTGATGGTTTCCTTTAGCTAACCAATGAGTGTTTGCGTTATATGACTCATCCAATCACACTAGTTTTCACTAGATGTGGGCGGAGCCAATGATCTGCATGGATGGAGCACATGACGGGAAATAAATATTTAGAAACATTAAACCGAAGCCAAGAGTTACGAGTAACGTTTGATTTAAAAATGTAAGGAATAGAAAGTACAGATACTTGTGTGAAAATGTAATGAGTAGAAGTCAGAAGTAGGAAGAAAAATAAGTAATGGAGTAAAGTAGAGATACCTATAAAGTGAACTTAAGTACAGTAATGAAGTACTTGTACTTTTTTAATTGACACCTCTGAAAGTAACAGATTATAAGTAAAAATGTCTCTGGGGTTTTACTAATTGATGATTTTCTTTATTCGGACTCCGGTGAATTTTAATTGGTGAGCCCTGCCTTATATCATATTATGTTCACACCAGCAAAGAAGCTGCTGCTGCTTCAGTTCTGATGATTGTTCACATTAAGCTCAGACGTCCAGTAAAGTGGGTCCAGATGCGTCTGATGCTTCTGCTGCAGAGAGCGGCTTTGCTATATTTGCTGTGATGATGCACAGACTGGTTCAGCTGGGCTTTGCTTTATAGAATGCGCCGCTGGTTTTCCTGTTGTTGTTTTTTTTTAAATAACTCTTCATAATCGGTGCAGTCAAATATGGGAAAGTTTTAATGTGTGTATAGCACATGGAAGAAAATCAGATGGGAGATTTAAAAAGTGGTACCAGGCTGTTTGAGCCGTGTTCAGGCTGCCTGTAGTGATATTAAATGTCCAGCAGGTGTCAGTATTCAGCGACAGTTTGCCAATGTGTGGAAACGCTTCATGATGTCATTAGGTGGGACCCCATGACGGCAGCTGGAGGTTTTAACACTCAGAGCCCTGCTGGTTTGGTGAAGCAAATCCAGACCAGTCTTCATACTGGAAGTGGGGATTGCTGAAAGTAATAGCAGTTGGTTCAGAATGCCACATTCACACAGCTGAGCTGGGGGTCTACTGCCTTGCTCAGGGGTACAGTGAGATGAGGCAGCTGGAATCAGACCAGCAGTCCTCTCATCCAGTGGAAGTGGTAAGGGAGGCCTGGTGCATAAACAGGATGTCTGTTTGTTTAAAGGGATGACATCGGAACGTAAGAAGAGCCTTCATCCTTCATCATCCTCTCTCCTCTTTCTGCCACCCCCCCCCCCCCCCCCCCCCCCCCCAGGCTTTAGATTACAGCGATGACGAAAAGGAGCAGGAAGCCAAAAGGAAACTAAGGACCCACAGGAAGAAGGACACTGGCAGCGTGGGTGAGTGAGGAGGACTGCCTCTGCTCTCTGCAGGATGACAGACTAACCCATCTTTATGCTGACCTTTAGACTGACCTTTAGGCCCACCTTTGGGCCCACCTTTAGGCTGACCTTTAGGCCCACCTTTAGGCTGACCTTTAGGCCCACCTTTAGGCTGACCTTTGGGCCCACATTTAGGCTGACCTTTAGGCTGACCTTTGGGCCCACCTTTAGGCTGACCTTTGGGCCCACCTTTAGGCTGACCTTTGGGCCCACCTTTAGGCTGACCTTTAAGCCCACCTTTAGGCTGACCTTTAGGCCCACCTTCAGGCAGACCTTTGGGCCCACCTTTAGGCTGACCTTTAGGCCCACCTTTAGGCTGACCTTAAAGCCCACCTTCAGACTGACCTTTAGGCTGACCTTTAGGCCCACCTTTAGGCCCACCTTTAGGCTGACCTTTGGGCCCACCTTCAGGCTGACCTTTGGGCCCACCTTTAGGCTGACCTTTAGGCCCACCTTTAGGCTGACCTTTAGGCTGACCTTTGGGCCCACCTTTAGGCTGACCTTTGGGCCCACATTTAGGCTGACCTTTGGGCCCACCTTTAGGCTGACCTTAAAGCCCACCTTTAGGCTGACCTTTAGGCTAACCTTTAGGCCCACCTTCAGGCAGACCTTTGGGCCCAACTTTAGGCTGACCTTTAGGCCCACCTTCAGGCAGACCTTTGGGCCCACCTTTAGGCTGACCTTTAGGCCCACCTTTAGGCTGACCTTAAAGCCCACCTTCAGACTGACCTTTAGGCTGACCTTTAGGCTGACCTTTAGGCCCACCTTTAGGCTGACCTTTGGGCCCACCTTTAGGCTGACCTTTGGGCCCACCTTTAGGCTGACCTTTGGGTCCACCTTTATACTGACCTTTAGGCCCACCTTTAGGCTGACCTTTAGGCCCACCTTTAGGCTGACCTTTGGGCCCACCTTTAGGCTGACCTTAAAGCCCACCTTCAGACTGACCTTTAGGCCCACCTTCAGGCTGACCTTTGGGCCCACCTTCAGGCTGACCTTTTGGCCCACCTTTAGGCTGACCTTTGGGCCCACCTTCAGGCTGACCTTTAGGCTCACCTCCAGACTGACCTTTAGGCCCACCTTTAGGCTGACCTTAAAGCCCACCTTCAGGCTGACCTTTAGGCTCACCTTTAGGCCCACCTTCAAGCTGACCTTTGGGCCCACCTTCAGACTGACCTTTAGGCCCACCTTCAGACTGACCTTTCGGCTGACCTTTAGGCCCACCTTCAGGCTGACCTTTGGGCCCACCTTCAGACTGACCTTAAAGCCCACCTTCAGACTGACCTTTAGGCTGACCTTTAGGCCCACCTTTAGGCTGACCTTTGGGCCCACCTTTAGGCTGACCTTTGGGCCCACCTTTAGGCTGACCTTTGGGCCCACCTTTAGGCTGACCTTTAGGCCCACCTTCAGGCTGACCTTTGGGACCACCTTCAGACTTACCTTTAGGCCCACCTTCAGACTGACCTTTAGGCTGACCTTAAAGCCCACCTTCAGACTGACCTTTAGGCCCACCTTCAGGCTGACCTTTGGGCCCACCTTCAGACTGACCTTTAGGCTGACCTTAAAGCCCACCTTTAGGCTGACCTTTAGGCCCACCTTCAGGCTGACCTTTGGGCCCACCTTCAGACTGACCTTTAGGCCCACCTTTAGGCTGACCTTTGGGCCCACCTTTAGGCTGACCTTTAGGCCCACCTTTAGGCTGACCTTTGGGCCTACCTTTAGGCTGACCTTTGGGCCCACCTTTAGGCTGACCTTTAGGCCCACCTTTAGGCTGACCTTTGGGCCCACCTTTAGGCTGACCTTTAGGCCCACCTTTAGGCTGACCTTTGGGCCCACCTTTAGGCTGACCTTAAAGCTCACCTTCAGACTGACCTTCAGACTGACCTTTAGGCTGACCTTTGGGCCCACCTTTAGGCTGACCTTTGGGCCCACCTTTAGGCTGACCTTTAGGCCCACCTTTAGGCTGACCTTTAGGCCCACCTTTAGGCTGACCTTTAGGCCCACCTTTAGGCTGACCTTTGGGCCCACATTTAGGCTGACCTTTAGGCTGACCTTTGGGCCCACCTTCAGGCTGACCTTTGGGCCCACCTTTAGGCTGACCTTTAGGCCCACCTTTAGGCTGACCTTTGGGCCCACCTTTAGGCTGACCTTTAGGCCCACCTTTAGGCTGACCTTTGGGCCCACCTTTAGGCTGACCTTTGGGCCCACCTTTAGGCTGACCTTTGGGCCCACCTTTAGGCTGACCTTTAGGCCCACCTTTAGGCTGACCTTTGGGCCCACCTTTAGGCTGACCTTTGGGCCCACCTTTAGGCTGACCTTTGGGCCCACCTTTAGGCTGACCTTAAAGCTCACCTTCAGACTGACCTTCAGACTGACCTTTAGGCTGACCTTTAGGCCCACCTTCAGGCTGATCTTTGGGCCCACCTTTAGGCTGACCTTTGGGCCCACCTCCAGACTGACCTTCAGGCTGACCTTTGGGCCCACCTTTAGGCTGACCTTTAGGCCCACCTTTAGGCTGACCTTTGGGCCCACCTTTAGGCTGACCTTTGGGCCCACCTTTAGGCTGACCTTTAGGCCCACCTTTAGGCTGACCTTTGGGCCCACCTTTAGGCTGACCTTTGGGCCCACCTTTAGGCTGACCTTTGGGCCCACCTTTAGGCTGACCTTAAAGCTCACCTTCAGACTGACCTTCAGACTGACCTTTAGGCTGACCTTTAGGCCCACCTTCAGGCTGATCTTTGGGCCCACCTTTAGGCTGACCTTTGGGCCCACCTCCAGACTGACCTTCAGGCTGACCTTTAGGCTGACCTTTAGGCCCACCTTTAGGCTGACCTTAAAGCCCACCTTCAGACTGACCTTTAGGCTGACCTTTAGGCTGACCTTTAGGCCCACCTTTAGGCTGACCTTTAGGCTGACCTTTGGGCCCACCTTTAGGCTGACCTTTGGGCCCACCTTTATACTGACCTTTAGGCCCACCTTTAGGCTGACCTTTAGGCCCACCTTTAGGCTGACCTTTGGGCCCACCTTTAGGCTGACCTTAAAGCCCACCTTCAGACTGACCTTTAGGCCCACCTTCAGGCTGACCTTTGGGCCCACCTTCAGGCTGACCTTTTGGCCCACCTTTAGGCTGACCTTTGGGCCCACCTTCAGGCTGACCTTTAGGCTCACCTCCAGACTGACCTTTAGGCCCACCTTTAGGCTGACCTTAAAGCCCACCTTCAGGCTGACCTTTAGGCTCACCTTTAGGCCCACCTTCAGGCTGACCTTTGGGCCCACCTTCAGACTGACCTTTAGGCCCACCTTCAGACTGACCTTTCGGCTGACCTTTAGGCCCACCTTCAGGCTGACCTTTGGGCCCACCTTCAGACTGACCTTAAAGCCCACCTTCAGACTGACCTTTAGGCTGACCTTTAGGCCCACCTTCAGGCTGACCTTTGGGCCCACCTTTAGGCTGACCTTTGGGCCCACCTTTAGGCTGACCTTTGGGCCCACCTTTAGGCTGACCTTTGGGCCCACCTTTAGGCTGACCTTTAGGCCCACCTTCAGGCTGACCTTTGGGACCACCTTCAGACTGACCTTAAAGCCCACCTTCAGACTGACCTTTAGGCTGACCTTTAGGCCCACCTTCAGGCTGACCTTTGGGCCCACCTTTAGGCTGACCTTTGGGCCCACCTTTAGGCTGACCTTTGGGCCCACCTTTAGGCTGACCTTTAGGCCCACCTTCAGGCTGACCTTTGGGACCACCTTCAGACTTACCTTTAGGCCCACCTTCAGACTGACCTTTAGGCTGACCTTAAAGCCCACCTTCAGACTGACCTTTAGGCCCACCTTCAGGCTGACCTTTGGGCCCACCTTCAGACTGACCTTTAGGCCCACCTTTAGGCTGACCTTTGGGCCCACCTTTAGGCTGACCTTTGGGCCCACCTTTAGGCTGAACTTTAGGCCCACCTTCAGGCTGACCTTTGGGCCCACCTTCAGACTGACCTTTAGGCCCACCTTCAGACTGACCTTTAGGCTGACCTTTAGGCCCACCTTCAGGCTGACCTTTGGGCCCACCTTCAGACTGACCTTTAGGCTGACCTTAAAGCCCACCTTTAGGCTGACCTTTAGGCCCACCTTCAGGCTGACCTTTGGGCCCACCTTCAGACTGACCTTTAGGCCCACCTTTAGGCTGACCTTTGGGCCCACCTTTAGGCTGACCTTTAGGCTGACCTTTGGGCCCACCTTTAGGCTGACCTTTGGGCCCACCTTTAGGCTGACCTTTAGGCCCACCTTTAGGCTGACCTTTGGGCCCACCTTTAGGCTGACCTTTAGGCCCACCTTTAGGCTGACCTTTGGGCCCACCTTTAGGCTGACCTTAAAGCTCACCTTCAGACTGACCTTCAGACTGACCTTTAGGCTGACCTTTAGGCCCACCTTCAGGCTGATCTTTGGGCCCACCTTTAGGCTGACCTTAAAGCTCACCTTCAGACTGACCTTCAGACTGACCTTTAGGCTGACCTTTAGGCCCACCTTCAGGCTGATCTTTGGGCCCACCTTTAGGCTGACCTTTGGGCCCACCTCCAGACTGACCTTCAGGCTGACCTTTAGACTGACGTTTGGGCCTCCATGTTTCTTTCTGTCCAGATAAAGGCGCTCAGCATCAGGGATCAGACCGCCGCAGCTTCCATCCTAGACCACCAGGCAATCGCCATCGCCATCAGCAGCCAAGAAACGCCCCGCCCCCCTACGCACAACACCACCATCCACCTGGACACACAGAGCCCCCCCCTTCATACCTGCCTCCCCCTCATTACCCCTTCTCCCCCCAAGGCTTCCCTCTCTACCCCCCTCCTCCTCTCCCTCCTCCAGCTTTTTTCAACCCTTCCTTCTCTCCTTCTTTCTGGCCTCCAAACTCTCTTCCCTACGTTGATTTCCCCCCTCCTCCTCCTCCTCCCCCACCTCCCCCCTCAGCCCCTCACTAACACGTGTCCCCCAAAGCTTCAGGTCAATCGGCCCCCTTTGGTCCTGCTGATGAAGGGACTGTAGGAGGGGAGGAGGCAGGGAGAGATTTCCTCTTGCTTCCTGCTTTCCTCCTATATTTTCACATTAAAGATGGCGTCTGAAATGGAACGAACCTTTTCTCTGTTCCCTCGCCTGTTTGGACCCGGGCCTGCAGTGGAACCTGCTCTGCCAGCTGCTTATCAGCTCCTCCACCTGCAGAGAAAGATCAATATTGATCTGTGTTTAAATTGTAAATGATCTGCTGATAATTCGCTCATGTTTCCCTGCATTTCCTGATCCAGCCCTAATGATGTCGGGTCATAGAGTTAGGAGAACCTTTTAAACCGGCCATTAACAATCCCACAGCTGTGAAGCGTTCCAGGCGTGGTTTAGATCCACCTGGGTCCAAACAGAACCAGGGTGACTGCCTGTAGGCCTGTGGACCTGCTGTGAACCAGACGGTGAGGTCTTAGTTCCTCTGATGGGCTGAAGTTTTCTCACGTTCAGGATGCTGATTGGATCAGAACCAGGACTGGGAAGCTTTTAGAAACCAGAGCAGACTGGTTTCATGGACGTTTTCATGGACCTCAACAGGAAATAATTTCCTCTCATTCCAAATGTTTGAGTTAAGAACCTCTGAGCTCAGGAGATGTTTTGTTTTTGTCTCTTTAAGAAGAGCATCGTGTTCATTTGGAGACGACCTTATCATTTTTATTGATCCCAGTGTTTCTGTTGTTGCTTTTCTGTGAATTTGGGTTAAAAACTTGGAGCCACATCCTGTGCAGCTGCTGCATGAAGAACCCGCTGGATGCAGCTGCAGTCAGAGACTCTACATGTTTAATCCGTCTGAAATAAGTTCTGTTGGTTGTGATCTGAAATGGAACTGGGAGGATATAGTTTTGCTCCAGTTTGGTTAACTGGGAGGAATAAAAGTCTCTGTTTTCTAGTCTCTGTTGGATTATTTCTTTTAAAATGTTTGTTTGATGAACCTAGAGAGAATCAATGAGGCTGCACACCATAAATAAGCTAAAGTCCTCAGATACTTGATTTGATCTTTTAAATCCAACAGGCTGGACTTCCTGCAGTTTGTTGGACATCTCATAGTTTTAATGTAACATTAAATCAAAAACTTTACTCCACCTCAAGAAAATAAAAAATAATCTACCTAATGGAGAAAATCCAGCATTTAATCTCATGAGATTCTAAAAGGGAAACCTTTGTTTCTGAAAGTGCTCTGCTGATGGATTAAGATTAGAGAATAAAACATTTCCCATGCAGCTCACGCACATCATTTTTATTTTATCCTCGTTCCACTGACTCATTTCTCTGATGCTCAAATAAAGACAAAAGCACTGAATTTAAAAAAAATGTGTGCTTTTTAGTTTACGCTGTGGATAACGGGAAGGAAAACCTGGTTGAGCATAACTGCCTCGTTTTAAACATTTAAACAGCAAAGCAAAAAGACAGATTAGCTATTAATCTATTATTCATGACATACTAATGCTGCAAAGACAGTGAATAAGCATCAATGATGCAGAAAAACATCCTTTTGACATTAATTCATCATAAAGCCTCCACAGCCAGTGTTTCTGACAGAGAGCAAATATACACCGTTAGATATGAAAGGAAGATTCTCATAAAATCAATAAGTAATGCACTCGGTTGCAGCATGTTGGCTTATATAAACACACAAATCTATAGATATATATCTCTTAAAGGAAAAGTCAGGTTATGTTCAGAATTCAAACCTCTGAAATGATTCCATCCTGTTCAATAAATGATCAGTGTTTTTAATTCAGAGTAATTTTCATCTGAATGTGCTTTACTGGAGGCATCCATGTTTGTCAAAGAACACTACTGCCACCTACTGGTTTGTGACGTCACGGTGCGGTATCGGCTGTTGATCAAGTCCCAGTGCTGTATCTGGTGTTTGTCACAACGCGCTATTATCCAAGTCACCTTGAAAACATTCTTCTTCCAAATGTTGGCTACATATTACGGGTTTTTTCTCTGGCCAGAAGTTCGATGGCAAATCCTCCCTCTTCAAGTTGGCGATCCAACGACCAACCCGTCCGTGGACGATCAGGAATCAGAAAGGTGGAATAACTCTTTTTTTTCCCCCACTTTTACCCGATGTATTCCAGCATCCAGCTGCCATGCACGTGGGCATTGTCAGTTTCACTATAGCTCTGGTGAATTTCAATGGTGAAGTCCTCTGGAAATCTTCAATAATTGTTGTTGATTGCAGATGTGTCTAGTAGTTCCCATTGATTTAGCTTGTAAAGCGGGGAGAATGGCGCTAGGCTTACCGCACCGTGACGTCACTGCTGGAAGATGGCAGGAGGGAGGGGTTACTATATTTGGGCAAAAATGGCCGCTACCAGTCTCAGTGATCACGACTAAAATTATTCTATATTATTTTTTACTGATTAACGCTAAATTTATTAAATCACTGCGAACGCATTAGTTTTAGGTATAAAGGATGATCCACTGATTATTCCCTGCTGACTGGACTTCTCCTTGGGGTAGGACTGATTAAAGACAGGATGATCAGGGCAGAGGAATGCCTCCTGACCTGGAGGGCCACTTGGAGGAGAAGAAGCCATTACATCAATATCAGTCTAAATCCCTTTAGTTTTTATTGTGTTAGTTTCACTGTTAGGCGAAAGATGAAACACTAGTGAATAGAATAACTTAGAGAGCCGTAACTGAACATGAGGCAGGCAGGAAATGATGGTGAGTCTGATCTGTGTCCTTTATTTCACCGTGAATTAGAGAGAATTTATTTAAAATTTGCTGAGTAATATTTAGTCAGTCTCTTAGTTTCCTCCCTGTGAGGAGCCACTGTCTCCCAGCTGGATGAATTCACCGTCTCTAGAACCTAAAGCCAAACTTAGAAATCCAAATTATTCCTGGTCTCACCGAATCCATTAGAAACCTTCAGACCCTGTGGGGTTAAGCTCTAGGCTGGAATAATATTTATGCATTTAGCAGAAGCTTTTATCCAAAGCGACTTACAAAGTAGGAGCAATGTTACAGTTATCATCAATAGGACAATATGTTCACTTGAGGAAAGACTCTAGTGAGAATCAGTGGGGACAGCAAAGAGATGGAGGGAAGTACAGAGAGAGCAGATGTCCCACATGTCAGAGCTAATAATCTGTGGATCACATTGAGATTTCTGTCGATTGAAATTATTACATAAATAAACTTGATCTTCAAGTCTTTATCTTTTGCCAATCAACATCTCCTAGTCATGTGTTCAGAGATTCCATGCAAGAATCATTTGTTATCGATTGTTCCAACACTGCAAAAACGATCCAGAAAAAAGTCACTTCTTAAATTAATTCAATTCAGTTTATTTATATAACGCGAATTCACGACATGTTATCTCAAGGCACTTTCCAGTTCACCAGATCATCCAGTCAGATTCATGCAAAGTTTTCTGTCTAAGTAAGTTTGTTAATTGCATCGACTCATTAACTCTTCAGCAATCCCTCACACTAAGCATGCTTGTAGCGACAGTGGAGAGGAAAAACTCCCTTCTAACAGGAAGAAACCTCCAGCAGAACCAGGCTCAGTGTGAGCGGCCATCTGCTGAGGCCCACTGGGGTTCAAGGAGACAGAAGCAGAGATGCACCTACTCATAAAAGTTAAATGAACACTTTGTAATCAGAGTATAGCATCAAGTTAATTAAACTTCTGGGATATTGATTTGGTCAGGTAAGTAGCAGAGGGGGCTGTTAATAAGTTTCAGCTGCTTTGGTGTTAATGAAATTAACAACAGGTGCACTAGAGGGTCAACAACGAGACGACCATCAAAACAGGAAGGATTGTACAGGTGGAGGCCACTGACATATTTCCTCTCCTCATCTTTTCTGACTCTTTTTCACCAGTTTTGCATTTGGTCACTGTCAATACTGTTAGCATGAGGCGCTACCAGAACCCTGTAGAGGTTGCACAGGCAGTCCAACTCCTCCAGGATGGCACATCAATACGTGCCATTGCCAGAAGGTTTGCTGTGTCTCCCAGCACAATCTCAAGAGCAGGGAGGAGATTCCAGGAGACAGGCAGTCACTCCAGGAGAGCTGGACAGGGCCGTAGAAAGTCTACAACCCATCAGCAGGACCACTATCTGCTCCTTTGTGCAAGGAGGAGCAGGAGGAGCACTGCCAGAGCCCTACAAAGTGACCTCCAGCAAGCCACTGGTGTCAGAAACAGACTTCATGGGGGTGGCCTCAGGGCCACACGCCCTCTAGTGGGCGCTGTGCTCACTGCCCGGCACCGTGGAACTCGATTGGCATTTGCCACAGAAAACCGGTATTGGCAAGTCGGCCACTGGCGCCCTGTGCTTTTCACAGATGAGAGCAGGTTCACCCTGAGCACGTGACAGATGTGAAAGGGTCTGGAGAAGCTGTGGAGAACGTTATGCTGCCTGTCAGCATGACCGGTTTGGTGGTGGATCAGTGATGGTCTGGGGAGGCATATCCATGGAGGGACGCACAGACCTATACAGGCTAGACAACGGCACCCTGACTGCCATTAGGTATCGGGATGAAATCCTTGCACCCATTGTCAGACCCTCTGCTGGTGCAGATAGTCCTGGGTTCCTCCTGGTGCACGACAATGCCCGGCCTCATGTGGCGAGAGTTTGCAGGTAGTTATTGGAGGATGAATGAATTGAAACCATTGATTGGCCCCCACGCTCGCCTGACCTAAATCCAATAGAACACCTCTGGGACATTATGTTTCCATCCATCCAACGCCGCCAGGTTGCACCTATAACTCCAGGAGCTCAGTGATGCCCTGGTCCAGATCTGGGAGGAGATGCCCTGATGTTGTCAGGCATGCATACACGCATGTGGGGGCCATACAAATAACTGAATACCATTTTGAGTTGCTGCAACGAAATTACAGCAAAATGGACTATTCTGCTGCATAATTTTTTCACTGTAATGTTTGGGGTGTCTTTGGATTCAGCCCTCTGTAGGTTGATCATTTACATTTCCATCAAATGATGTGGCATCCTTTTGTTCCTAACACATCACCCAGTCCATATCAGTAGAAATAAACAGCATGATTTCTTTTACCCATTGAGATCTGATGGGTTTTCAAATTGTTCCTTTAATTTTTTTGAGCAGTGTAGAAAAAGAAGCATAGATACAAAAGGCGACTGTCAACCAGCTCCACAGGCGGCCCTGTCCAGGAAACACACAGCCAGGCAGACGAGCTCCGAGTAGCTCCCATGTCAGAGGTTCTGCTGGAGGTTTCCTCCAGTTCAAAGGGAGTTTTTCCTGGGGAACTGAAAACTAATACAAGCGATATTAATAATGTTTTTGAAAATTTCTACAGCCAGCTATACACATCAGAGTTAGACCCTGAATTGAAGAAATATGATGCCTTTTTCTCTAGGATCAACCTACCACAAATGTCGAACGATGAAAAGGAATTACTGGATTGTCCTATATCAGCGGAGGAAGTTAAAAATGCCATTAAATCAATGAGGGCGGGAAAATCACCTGGTCTGGATGGCTTTCCCTCAGATTATTATAAGAGATTTGTTGGTATTCTTGCTCCTATTTTGACAGAGGTTTATAAAGAGTCTTTTTCAGTGGGAAAATTGCCAAATACATTTAATGAAGCATTAATCTCCTTAATTGTTAAAAAAGATAAATAACCTGAGGATCCGGCCAGCTATAGACCAATTAGTCTTATTAATGTGGATTGCAAAATTTTGACAAAGGTATTGGCAACGAGACTGGAGAATCTTTTGACACATCTAATACACTCTGATCAAGTAGGCTTTATTAAAGGGAGAGCATCTTCCGATAATGTTAGACGTCTATTGCACCTGATGCAACTCAATTATAACAATAGTAATGCAATAGCTGCTATATC